AGCTGGCCTGATGAAATCACACAGCATCCTTAATAGAGAGCAACAAGGACCAGGCTTACCCGTGCTCCACCTGAGGGCTGGTGGATCATGATGCGGGAGTTGGGCAGGGAGTGGCGCATGCCCGGTGAGCCCGCAGCGAGAAGCAGAGAGCCCATGCTTGCTGCCTGCCCCACACACCACGTGCAAATGGGGTTCAGGATGTATTGCATGGTGTCATAAATTGCCAGTCCAGATGTTACTGCACCACCTGCGTGCACACACACAAAACAAGTTGTGTCCTTGCGAAAAATTCAAAGACAAAGATTCCAGCAGACACACAACCCAAAGCCACTTGCTACTTGTGACCGCTCACCTGGGCTGTTAATGTACATGTGGATGGGCTTCTTGTTGCTTTCTGACTGCAAGAAAAGCAGCTGTGCAATGACCAAACTCGCCACACTGTCATCAATCTGTAATAGAAAACACAACGTTGGGTATGACTGGCAGAGGAAATTTTTGATACAGAAAACCATTCTCTTGCTTTTTGGGCCTAGTCAAAACCTGGAGCTTTGAAACCAAAGCACACGTTTTAATGAAATGCAAGGGCTTTAATCCAAGTAACACGCAATCAGTTCTTGAAATGAATTACCTAATCAGCAATGGAGACTGTGTAAGCCTCACTGCTTTCTATGCTGGGTAGGGATGATGGGAACTGCAATCCTGTAACATCTAGAAAGCCACATGCTCTCCACCCTTGACTTAAAACCAAATGGTCCAGAAACACAATGTTTAAAAAGGCCTGTGCATCAGTTTTAGTTAACACCATGTGCATTCTGTGCTAAGAAAATTAATCAAGATTTTCAATACAGTAATCCAAATTATGCAGGGTAAAAATTATACATACCTAATCTGCACACTTTTCTCATAATTTATTCTGTGCTTTGCACAATCTTGCAACAATTAATTTTTTGTATTGTAATGTTTACTTTGATATGTTTAATTATTTTAAATTTTTCAAAAAATATTTCAATTAAAACTGTCTTACAGACTATATCCTCCCCCCGAAATCTTCAGAACTACATGCACTTTAATGCTTAAATAATTTATACTGCTTATGCCAGAGATCATGAAGGAAACGTGTTGGATGTTGAAAGACCTATCTTCCAACAAAGAGAGCCTTAAAGGGCCACTCTTCTGGCTATCAAGATTTCTACAGACATTGACCATACTGGCTGTCATATTTCTAACATAGGGGCCAGAACTTATTCTTAAAAATAAACCTTACCCTGGATGGACTAGGTCTGTAAGGAGAAGTTTACAGACTTACCGGGCCCATCACACAGACAATGCGCTCTCTCAGAAGGCGAGAGTAGATGTCGTAAGCTCGCTCACCACGGCCCTGAAACAGACATTAGGTCAAAACAAACACCCTCAAGTCTTTGAATTTGGTGGTTGGGGGGTGAGCCTTCTTATACTCCAAAGAAAAGGATCCACAAATATCCTGCAACAGAAACAAGCCTGCTGGAATTCCATTTAACTCTGAAGCCAATGTTCCAACTAAGAGCAGAACAAAGTTAAAAAATAGTTGAAGGTGGAGTTATCTGAAGACACTTTGGGGGGGTTGCAGACTGCCAGAAATAGTGCAAATTGAGTCCATTTTTAGGGTTAGGGTTAGTGCTAGGGAATCATGGGAATTGATTTTTTTCTGGGACATTGAGCCTTCTCTGTCAGAGAGCTCTGGTGCTACAATAAGCTACGGTCCCCATCATTCCCTAACCCTAAAAGTGGACTCAATTTGCACTATTTCTGGCAGTCTGCAACCCCCCTTTGTCTCCTATGGCAAAGGACAAGATGGTGTTCCCTTTCCATCTCACTGCCTGAATTGGCAGCTGCATTTTCCTTCAGCACTAGCAGAGGTGTAAAGTCTGTTTGAGGTAGCATCTGTGAACTTTAAGGCATGGCATGTACAATCAGGCTTCCATATCTATGGTTTTTTTATCCACAGATTCAAGCATCCACTGTTTGAAAACATTCTGAAAAGATATAAATTCCAAAAAGCAAACCCTGATTTTCCATATTATCAAAGGGGCACCATTTTACTATGCCACTGTATCATCCTCATAATCCTTTATTACAATCAACAGATCCAATAAGAGACTCAAGCATAAAATAAAAACAACATCCAAAAGAAATAAGCAGTGCATTACAACAATAAAACAGTTACTATCAGCTTTTACCTAAAACACAAAGGCCTCTTATCCTCTTTGCTCTGAAAGAAAGTTAGCAACAGTCAATGTTACATTTGGGGACTTATCCTCCAACAGGAGCCTGATATGGAATTGATCATAACATCCAAAACAATTTTTCTCAATAATGAAAAAATCAAATTCTGGCACACCTCATTATAATAGCTGCAGGACAAAAAATGTGCTTCATTGACTCAACTTCCATGTTATTACAAGGGCACAGTCTCTCTGAATAAGGGACACTGGCAAATCTGCCTCAGAGCAGTCAGTAGAAAAGACGTTACATCTGACCTAAGAAAACTGTAGTAGGCAACCTTTTCCCTTTAAGGTCCGAGGGACTTCAGCTCCCAGAATCCCAGGAGCTATTGGCCAACATGGGACTATTGGCCAACGTGGCTGAGGCTTCTGGGAACTGAAGTCCCTCGGCCCTTAAAGGGGAAAGGTTGCCTACCCCTGTATTATATAGTCAGCTAATTGAAAAGTCCCAGTGTAATGGACATTTAATACACTAGCAGAGCAGCTAACATAGGAGCGATAGCACAGATCGCATAAAGCTATGTCCCACAGTCTCTGTTTGAGAGATTTAAGGATCCTATGCCATTGCATTTAATGGGACTTGAGCATTCACAGAGTTTAGTATCCTTGGGGGGTGGGTGGGTCCTGGAATCAAATCCTAGCGGACACCAAAGGCCTACTGTATTGATGTCATTTTCTGTTTATTGGTCTTTGCCACACACTCTCTCTTCCAATATCACTTAGGTCTAAACTGCACTGCAGAATAATGCAGTTTGACATCACTTTAACTGCCATGGCTCAATGCTATGGAATTCTGGGATCTGTAGTTTAGTGAGCTATTTAGCTTTCTCCATCAGAGCTCTGGTGCCACAAAAAACTACAAATCCCTGGAACTCATAGCATTGAGCTATGGCAGTTAACACTGTATGAAACTGCATTATTTCTGCAGTGCTGATTAGATCTTAGTCTGAGTTTGTCTTCTATTTTGTAGTTTCCCCTCAAAAAACAGAATCTCTCACCATGAGATGTTATGAAACCCTTACTACCTGTAAGAAAACCTACTCTATATTTTTACCAAGTAGACTAAGGTCCAAAACACACTGAAGAAATAATCTAGTTGGAGACCGCTTTAACTGCCCTGGCTCAATGCTAGGGAATTCTGGGAACTGTAGTTATGTGAGTCTTCTCTCAAGAGTTCTGGTGCCACAATAAACTACATTTCCTAGGATTCCCTAGCACTGAGCCAGGGCAGTTAAAGCGGTTTCAAACTGGATGACTTCTGCAGTGTGTTTTGGACCTAAGCTGCTTTACTTTCTTTGCCAGATTCTGTGTTGGAATGGAAGTGTGGGACTGGTTGTTGCTCACCTTGCACTTGTAAACACTTAACTACTCTGTTTATGAGATAACACTACTACCTTGCCATTGGCACTGGGGAGAAGGGCAAAACTGACCCCAACTTTACTGAACTTGCTCATTCCTACAGTAATAAACTCAACCAACAGTAACTGTTATACCTCTCTATTTAATTCTTTTTCTGATCTTTTTCCTCTACAGACAAGCATGCACCGGCCCCTGCCACCACATCCCAGCATACTATGCTTACCGTCTGTTCCACTACAATGGGGATGAGGGGGATGTGGGTCCTCGAAGACTGGTGGAGGCACCGAGAAACAGAGAGGACATGGCATCCTAGCCGTAAGGGGTGCTGCACAGAGAGAGACAAAAGAGTGGAGCCTGGTTACTTGACATGGAGAGAAAAGAGTGGACAGAGAGCGAGAAGTGGGACCTGGCTATTTCACATTCATCTCCGCTGGTAATCTGTCCTACCTCCTTCCTACCTTCTCTCCCATGCTGATTTTAAATGGTCATCTGCTGCTGTCTCAGAGGCGACCGCCTCAGCTTGCCTCCTTCTTTCACGTTGCTAAAAGAAAGCTACCGATCCTGGGTTGTCCTTTAGTGAACTCACACCCAAGTACCCAGTTGCACACTCCCCGCAGCAGATAGCTCCCAGAAGCATCTAGGCCATGGCAAGGCTGAGGAAACTTTAGACTGTCAGACTGCAATTCCCATCAGCTCCACCCAGCACAGCCAGCAGAGAAAGATGTTGGAAGACGCAGTCCACAAACATCTGCAGTGACAACACCTCCACTGATTTTCCAGCAGTGAACATGAAGACAGAACCTATTTTATTTCATGTAAGTAAAAGCCAATTAAGATGTAGATTTCTGTGCCTACAATACTTGATTCAGAGCATCCATCCCTGTGATGATGTGGCAGTGCAGGTGGCTGTGGTTTAAGGACAAGGGCTGCGATAGTCCATCTTATAAATTCATGACTGATGGGAAGGTTGTTTGTTTGCTACCTTTATAGTCTGGCTATCATCATGTGAATGTGGTGTAAATGGCCTGCCTCCATTCCCCTGCAAACACAACACAACACAACAAAACAAAAACTGTGAAGTGGGTCAGATGGGGAAAGTACATTTGCCCATGATCAGCCAACCAGGAGTTGGAAGATGGATTACCAAATCCCAG